TTCCGTAGTAGGAAGGATGCCGAGGATCCTGTCGGAACCTATAACAGGTTCGGGATACAGGACAATCTAATGGATGTTGTTGTTTAAGTCCATGACCCCAAACAACATCATAGAAGTCCTGTTAAACCTCCCTGAGTGGACCTTAAACCCCATTTCTCTTAAGTCAAAATCACCCTTGCTAACGACTGAATGGAATATATTAACTTTGTAATGATGTCCATAGATATGCATCACTATATATTAGTCCCAAAATGACCTAGTTTGTGTCCAGTGGACTCTAAATCTCATTATACTCTGTTCCTCTCATGTCTAAATCATCCTTGCTAACAACAAAATGGAATATATTAAATTTGTAAATATGTCCATACACTCTAGAGGCCAAAGTTAATTTCTGATTGACTTCAGATTTATACACAGTGTTTAAGGTCATGTGACGAAGAAGCCTATTGATTTTCAGCGATTTGTGATAATTACTGCCAGAGTTGTGGTCCTTGATCACTTCAAAAAATCTTGTTGACGCTCTAGAAGCCAAAGTTAATATCCGATTGACGTTAAATTTATACACAGTGTTTAAGGTCATGAGGTGAAGAAGCCTATTGATTTTCAGCGATTTCCGATAATTACTGCTAAAGTTATGGCCCTTGATCACTTTGAAAAATCTTGCGATGCTCTGGAGGCTAAAGTTATCATCCGATTGACTTCAGATTGATACACAGAGTTTAAGGTCTTGAGACGAACAAGTATATTGATTTTCAATGAATCTTTATGACTTGAACAGCTAAATCCATGATGTTAAAAGTTTTGTATACTAAACGTTAGCATGGGGCAGAACTTTATAAAAACCAAAAAGATTCTAATGGTTTTCTGATAATTACTTAATGAGTTGTTACTCTTAATCAGATTTTAATGTATTATAAATGTTTCATTACCGAAAAAAGTAAAAATATGCGACAACTCTTGTTGACTGCCGGGACGATATAGCTGCTGTGGGCGTATGTTTCGTTGCCTGGCAACCAATCTTTTTAGCTTGTGGAAACTCTAGAGGTCACAATTTTGATCCGATTTTGATGAAACTTGAAATGCGTGTTTATAACTCAAGGATCTTGATTCTTTTTGATATTCGCGCATATTGGATCGTAACTCACTAAATTATGGCCCCTGATTTTAAGAAAAATCATGTTTTAGGCTTGTTGGTCCCACCAGAGGTCACAATTTTCATCCGATTTAAAAAAAACTTTTAGTATATCACCGTTACACTGTAATGAAAGTTGAGTTCGAATTTCGTGTAAATCGGACCAAAACTGACGGACACAAAGGCCGCCGCTTGTAAGCGAATAGTGTAAAAATATGGTATATCAAGGTTGTAGACCCTGTAGAGGTCACAATTTTAATCCAATTTTGATGAAACTTGAAATGCATGTTTATAACCCAAAGATCTTGGTTCCTTTCGATATTTGCGCATATCAGATCGTAACTTCCTGAATTATGGCCCCCGATTGTACGAAAAATCACATTTTCATGTGGAGGTATGTCGTTACCCCTGTCCGTCTGCCACTATTGTTTCTGAACACTCTACAGGTCACAATTTTTATCTGATTTCAACGTGACTTGAAATATAGGTTTATCTCCCTAATATCTCGGTTCCTTTCAATATTGGCATGTATCGGAGTGTAACTTCTTGGATTATGGCCCCTGATTGTACGAAAAATCACGTTTTTAGCTTGTGAACACTGTAGAGGTGACAATTTTTTTCCGATTTTAAAAACCGTTTTAAATACATCACCATTCCACCATAATGAAGGTTGATTCGTATTTCGGGAAAATCGAAATGAAACTGCCCGACAAAATGGCCGCTCTTTGTAAGCAAATTGTGTAGAAGTGTGTAATACGATGGTTGTGGACCCTCTAGAGGTCACAATTTTTATCCGATTTTGATGAAACTTAAAACCTCTCTTTATATCCCAAAGATCCGAGTCCCTTTTGATATTTGCACATTTCAAGCCATAACTTTCAGGATTATTGCCCCTGATTATACAAAAAATCATGTTTGTTTTTAGTTTGTTCTCTATCCATCTCTTGCAAAATGTGAGCCTTTCCTGTCTGGCAGCTGCTGGTTTTGCTTGTGGTCCCTCTGGGGGTCACAATTATTATCTGATTTAAAAAAACGTTTTTAGCTTGTGGACACTCCAGAAGTCAAAATTTTAAACCAATTTTGATGAAACTTGAAATCCAAAGATCTTGGTTCCTTTCGATATTCGCGCATATCGGATCGTAACTTCCTGGATTATGGACCCTGATTGTACGAAAAATCGCGTTTTTAGCTTGTGGTTCCTCTAGAGGTCACAATTTTTTCTGCCGGAGAGAACAAATAGTGTAAAATATGGTATATCAAGGTTGTGTTCCCTCTAGAGACCACAGTTTAAATGTATGTTTTTATCATGAAGATCTTGGTTCCTTTTGATAATCACACATATCCAAACGTACCTTCCTGGATTATGGCCCCTGATTGGTCGAAAAACCGCATTTTTAGATTTGATATTTGTTTATTAGGTGCAATGTCTATTTTCTGTCTTGTCCGCAGGTTTATCTTGTAGATTTTTGTTTTACGTGTAGTGCGGTCCTCCAGCACTTACTATTAGAGGTCACAATTTTTTTTTTTCCGATTTTATAAGCCGTTTAGATATATCACCTTTCCACCATAATGAAGGTTGAACTGGAATTTCGGGAAAATCGAAATGAAACTGTCCGACAAAATGGCCATTCTTTGTACGCAAATTGTGTATAAGTATGTAATACAAAGGTCACAATTTTTATCCGATTTTGATAAAACTTAAAACATATCTTTATATTCCAAAAATCTCAGTCCCTTTTGATATTTGCACATTTCAGACCATAACTTTCTGGATTTAAAAAACTCTTTTTTGTTTTTAGCTTGTTCTCTATCCATCGCTTGCAAAATGTGGGCGTATCCTGTCTGGCAGCCGCTGGTCAATGATTTTTGGTAACTTTAACAGCTAAATCCAATGTATTAAATGTTTTGTATACTAAATTTACCATGGGCCAAACAAATTCTAATGATTTTCTGATAATTACTTAATGAATTGTTACTCTTAATCAGATTTTAGTGTATTATAAATGTTTCATTACCAACAAAAATAAAAAGTATGCGACAACTCATTTTGACTGCCCGGACGATTTAGCTGCTGTGGGCGTATGTTTCGTTGCCTGGCAACCTATCTTTCTACACTCTTGATATTATTAAATGTTTACAACTGCATTTGGGTTGATGGGAATTTCCCTCCATGAAGCCACCATAATTCCCATCCCTAAACTGGGTAAAGATCCTACGATTTCTACCAATTATCGCTCGATCGCTTTAACTAGCTGCATTTGCAAAACCATGGAGAGATTGATCAATCGAAGGCTTGTTTGGTACCTTGAGACCAACAACCTCATTACAAATATCCAATGTGGATTTTGGTCCCAAAGAAGCACTCTTGATCATCTCGTTAGATTTGAAACATTTGTCAGGGATGCTTTCATCCAGAAACAACATTTAGTTATTATGAACATTTAGTTGCTATATTTTTCGATCTGGAGAAAGCTTATGATACCACATGGAAATATGGTATCATGCGCGACCTGCATTACCTCGGTCTGCAGGGTCGCTTACCTATCTTCATTAAAATCTTCTTAGAAGATAGGTCGTTTAAGATACGCTTGGCATCAATTTTTTCTGACCCATTTCCCCAGGAAATGGGAGTTCCTCAGGGAAGTATTTTGTCTCCCACACTCTTTACAATAAAAATTAATAGGATACCAACGTACCTTAATCGTGGGGTCGATGACTCTCTTTATGTTAATGACTTTCAGATGTGTTACGGATCGACAAGCATGCAAACAATGCAAACATTGGCAACTGACAATGGATGCACTTCTGTCATCGAAGAGGTTTACATCGTGATCCAGAGCTTACACTGGATGGAAGCCCCATTCCAGTTGTAGATGAAACGAAATTCTTGGATTTGATATTCGATAAGAAATCATCTTTTATCCCTCATATAAAAACACTCAAGAAGAAATGTCTGAAAGCCCTGAACATATTGAGAACACTGAACACTGTATCAAACACTGAATGGGGAGCAGACCGTAAGGTCTTGCTCAGGTTATATCGAGCATTAATAAGATCTGAACTTGATTATGGGTGTATTGTGTATGGGTCAGCCAGCAAGTCTTTATCTCAAAGAGCTTGACACCATACACAACCAAGGACTTAGAATCAGTCTAGGAGCATTCTGTACATCTCCAGTGCAGTTTATACGTCGAGGCGCACAAGCCCTCATTGCATGACAGACATGATAAACTGGCACTGCAGTATGCTACAAAAATTGCCTCTCTGCCTTATCATATTTCACATAACACCATATTTAGACCATATCATTAACATCTGTATTTACTGAAAACTAACGTGATTGCATCATTCGGTATTGACATCCAACCCCTTTTGTCAAAGGCTGGCATCAGCCATGACAGTATTACGAATACCCCTTTGTTTAGAACTCCAACCTCACTGTTGGCTTGTTTACCTATATATTGTTTGTCTCTAGATGATAAGGGGGATCACGTGGCTAAGTGGGTAAGACGCTAGCTCGCTAGCCTGGAGGTCGGGTGTTCGATCCCTGCATTGGCCGAGAAAGTTAATCCAGATTTTCCGGCGTGGTTCTCCCTTGTCAGTGATGCAGGACGGAGGGGCTGACAAGGAAAGCTGTCTAGTCGTTCGGATGGGACGAAAAACCGAGGTCCCATGTACACATTGGCGTGCACGTAAAAGATCCCTTGGCAGTTGGAATTCGATATAAGAGTAGGCCGTAGTGCCGCTGTCCGGGCAAAATTTCCCTCATAGCACACTGTATGGCGTATGCCCGTCTTCATTAGCCCAGGTTAGGAGCAGAAAAGTAGGACGTTAAACTCCATTTCATTTCATTTCATTTCATTTCTAGATGATAAGAGTATGATTGGATGTCGTAAAATTTGGAGTGAAACAAAAGATGCTAAGAAAATGTTAGATAAATTGCCAGCTTATCATAATATAGAGAAATCAGTGTTATATGTATTATCTAAACAAGGCAGTAATATGTACTATAATGCTTTACAAGCAGTAAGTATGGCATATATATTCCATTTGTTTTGATTTCCATACATGTTTGCAAATATACTGACACTCAATGAAAACTCAAAAATCACTGTAACAATGGTATCGTTTTAAACGGGGGTTTTAGCACTAGAAAGTATGCATATAGTTTAGTTAGTACTATGGTTTAATGGGGGGGGGGGTGGCTGAATGGTTAGCATGTGCGCGCTGTACCATAAAGTCTGTCATTGAGTCAACTGGCGTGGTTTCGAATCCCCGGTTGTATGTGGCAAGGAGTAGGGTCGCCTGTCCAACCTCGTGGATTTTCTCCGGGTCCTCCGGTTTCCTCCCACTGCTAAAGACCCCTACGCGCAAGTGAATTATTGAAATAAAATTAAACCATGTGTTAGTCCCGAAATGACTATGGTTTAATGGTAACCGGTTTAGTTTCTCCGAGAGGCGTTTATAAATGGATGACCCGTTTATTTATCTACCGGGTTTACTTATTACACAAGCGGTTGAATTTCCTAAGATACGTGTATAAATCAACACACGGTTAATTTATCTGTGGTGTTTAACTATTAGATGAACCTTTTAATTTCCAGTGGGACGACATGGCTATATTTAAAGGACAATATTTGTGTCAGTCATTATAAAATATGTGATAGAACTGGTTAAATACATACCAAATATAATTTTAACACAGAGATCATTGCTACGGGAGATGTGTAACAAGCATGTGAAGAAACGGGAAGTGACGCCAAACATGACAAACACAAGTTGTCCTTCTATATAACTGAGTGAATTAATGAGCGATAACAGACATGCGATCGAATTTCATTTCACTGATAATTCAGTTGAAAATGAAAAGTTATTATATGAGACGGTGAGAGGATATCTGACAATTCAAAAACAGAATTGGCTGTCATTAGATAAAAGATAACAATCAAATTAGGAAAAATCTGTGCATTACCATGTTTTTATTAAGAACAGAATGAATAAAAACAGGGGAATGCACAGGATTTTTTGATTTTTCTCGTTTTCCCTTATCTAGTGACAGCCAATTCTATTTTTGAATTGTGAGATACACTCTCACCATAATAATGACTGACACCAATATTGTCCTTTAAGAAACGATTTAACGTATTGATCTGGTTTGGAAATTGGAAAACTGTATTTGTCAAAAGACCAAGCTTGTGTTATCAGTTTATAGTCAATATTAGAAAATATCAATGACAGAAATTAAATAAATTTAAAACATCAAAGTATAAATGGCATACTGAATGGATTGTGTGATTTTAACGGATTAAGTAATTTGAACAGCTGATACAAGGTGATCAACAAAGTTACTCATGTAGTGTCATGTCTGTTAGTATAACTGATCTTACGTGAGGTGTAAGCAGTGCTTTATATGATATGGTAATCTATGATTTCCGTGCCACAGAGAGATCGCACGAAAGTGTCATTTCAGATAAGAAATTCTATGTGGATTCTTAAAATGAGACTACCAAAAATAAGTTAAAGGACAATATTGGTGCCAGTCATTATCACATATGTGATAGAGCTGGTTAAACACATTCCAAATATAATTTTAACACAGAGATCATTGCTACGATAGCTGAGTAATACAGGTTTCCTGAGTCGGAAGTGACGAATGTGTTTAACCAGCTCTATCACATATGTGATAATGACTGGCACCAATATTGTCCTTAAATGGTAATGATAGTCATTGATTCGTATCGTTTTATTTTGCGTATCTGAGCGGAATATATTAATACTTAAAGTATTTTGTAATGGCAAATGGGTTGCCAGGTGGGACCACGTGGCAATTCTTAATTCATACAAAGGAAAGTGGTTTCAGATAAAATTTATTTTCTGATGGCACAAAATTTGAATTTTCTGACGGCACAAAATTTGAAGTAGATACTGCTCATATGGGTGTGTCAGCATCGTCATGTTTACGCTTGATAGAGAACTGGGCAGATGATAAGAATCAAGGCAGTTTTAAAGTTACCATGATGGTCCATACTGTTAATATTACATATTAAATTACACCGAGTCCTATTGTATCACACGACTATCGTGCACCACGATAGCGACTGCTACACTGAGTTTTTTATCGTGATAAAGGTACCTTTGATTTAATGCAATATCATTTGAAATGGATTTATAAATAAAACAGAACTAATATTTAGCTGTGATAATTTAATAACAAAAAGCAAATTGTATGGATGTATGAACACTAAAAACAATCACAAATAATGCAGGTGGGAAGTAATAAAACAACAGCATTCAATGAATCAAGTGGTTACATAATATCAAGGCAGTAATCATTGAAACATATTTCCTGTTGATACTATTTGAACCCATTCCGAGAGTCCTGTCTGAAAATGGGTGACAGCTTTTCTATAGAGATTGACAGATAACGACTTTTTGGAGCCAGCGCAAAAGTCTGACAAGATTATCGCCCTGCCACATGTTCATTGTGAGGTTGATTTCTGGTGACATGTACAGATGGAAGGCTACGTTAATTAATTTCTGATTTAAAGAAGATATATTACCTGGGATGTGATTTACCGATTCCCGATTGTATAATTACCCGGGACGTGATATATCAATGTATTTGTCAATGTTGGAATTACTATACTCAGCCAAATTAAAAACTTGACACGCTGGATTTTTGGGACTAGATTTTTAATATTTGGTTTAAGGCAACTATTTTAGTGTTATGTTGTGCACAGACAACCTTGACATCAACAGAAAGCAAGAATACGTCTCGCCGAAAGTCCTTGACATTGATAATGTTCGTGATGTCACAGTACCCCCCAAAATGAAATTCACAGACTCGGAGAAGTATCGGAATAAAGTGTTTAGCAACGGTTGTGGCCTCCTCTAGCGTCTCATACTGCCACACAACGTCTTCTCATGGATCTCAGAACATTAGTAAACACTACCCGAGGAAGACGTCGCCAATGCTCAGCAAGAGCATGTTGAAGGTCCCGCAACGTCAGTGGTGGATTCACTTGCTGACAAACACGTCGACCCAGTTTGTCCCAGATGTGTTCAATAGGATTAAGGTCGGGGCTAAGCGACGGCCAATCCAGGACTTGGACACCGGCATTTCTTAAAAAATTCTGGGTAGCAATTGCTGTATGGGGTCGAGCATTTTCTTGTTGAAACGTAAGTCCAGGCCCATGTCTCTGCATAAACAGGTTGCAAAATCTGATCCCTGTACTGGACAGCATTTAAGTTCCCTTGAACAACAACAAGAGGAGAACGTCCATGTGCACAAAAAGAGCCCCAAACCATGACGCTGCCGCTACCAAACGCATACTTGAGCATAACGTTCACCTCGTCTGCGGTACACTCAGGGCCCTGCCATCGGCAAATGTCAAAGTGAATCGAGATTCGTCACTAAAGACAACCGAATTCCACTGTCTTTGAGTAAATCTTATGTATCTTGTGGCCCACACAAGTCGATTACGGCAATGAAGAGGTGTCAATATTGGTCCATTATAGGGCCTTCGAGCTCGAAGACCAGCAACCTGCAAGCGATTTCTGTTTCTAAGATGATGTAATCGTATTGCTTGATCTTCCTGGAGTGACGTCACACGTGGCGCTCCCGCCCTTGGGCGGTCGGCAATAGTTCCAGTTTGAAGCACTCTCATTCTAAGATTAATTATTGTCTGGTAAAGACTCTTGCAACAGTGACCACAGACTGACCAGCATAGAGCCTACCTATAGCACGTAGACGTTCTACATTTGAAAGGCGCGGCATTTTCTAACAAAGATGAAAATAACAATTTTAATTTGTTTTTCCAGTTCAAGTTACATGTGCGTGTTCAGTTTAAGCAAACTTGCATCGATTGACCTCACGAGTTTGTGTTTGCACGTGTTTTTCATCTTTATATGCTCAAAAGTCACGTGATCCATTTTCTAACAAAGATGAAAATAACAATTTTAATTTGTTTTTCCAGTTCAAGTTACTTGTGCGTGTTCAGTTTAAGCAAACTTGCATCGATTGACCTCACGAGTTTGTGTTTGCACGTGTTTTTCAGGTTTTTCATCTTTATATGCTCAAAAGTCACGTGATCCATGTGACTTTACAATTTTATGAAATTAAAGGCTTCTTACTATTTACTATCGTTAGAAACACTTTGACTTACCAGAAATACCAGGTATTTGACTTACCAGAAAAAAAAATTTGTTGAAATTCATCAGTGTCAAGTTTTTAATTTGGCTGAGTATATTTGTAATGGATAATGGATAACAATACTACGACCACGGTAAGGTGAGCATCTGTGGGTGTGCATTTTTTTATATTCACCTTTTTTATTTGTACCTTATATGTAAATAATCGTAATCAAAATGAACCTAAACAGATAGGATAAACACCTCGCAGGAAATTAAAAGTTTCATCTAATAGTTAAACACCGTAGATAAATTAACTGTGTGTTGATTTATAACAGCTTGTCTAATAAGTAAATGCGGTTAATAAGTGAACGACGGGTCGTCCATTTATAAACTAAACTGGTTACTACTAAGCCATAGTAATTCTCAAACGATTTTTATCAATTATCAAACGATGTTTTGAAAGTAAACTATATGCATACCTTCTAGTGCTAAATCCCCCCGTTTTAAACGATACCATTGTTACAGTGAATGATTTGACTGGAAGTGATGAGAGACAAAATCCAGCTTAAATATGATTTTAGCAAGAAAATGAATAACAGAATTGATCTATGATGCGTTTACCCATACTGAAAACATCATTCTCATATGTTAGTATTGTTGAAGTAAATAAAACTCAATTAATCATGTTTTGTGTAATCTTTTAATTATTGTCCCCCGCCTTTCGAAGAAAGCAGGGGACTATTGAAATGGGTTCGTCCATTTGTCTGTCTGTCCGTCACACTTTTTGGGACCCAATAACTCTCTTTCTAATTGAGCTAAAATGTTCAAACTTGGTGTAAGTGTTTATTAGGTCAATGCTTTGATGGAGTTCGAAGATAAGCATTTTCTGCATAGGGTAAGCAGAGATAAGCAATTTGATTGGTTAATGCTTTGGGACACGATAACTTTAGTTCTAATTAATGTGACAGTATTGGTTCTTTGAATTCCCGTCTTCATTAGCCCAGTTCGAAGCAAAACAGTAGGACGTTAAACCCCATTTCATTTCATTTCATTTCTTTGAATCAGGTTTTTGATTACAAAACTAGTTTAACTTCATATGATACTTTTATTCTTCTTTCAACATACCATGTACAAAACTTACAGTGTGCCAACTCCTGACTAACTTACATAGCCGCTGTCCGGTCTTAACTTGAGACCTGCCTGGTCCCAGGTTAACTTCTAGACGCCCTCGTCTAACTTCGTCTCAAGGCGCCCATGGCCCCCGCTCCCCCTGTCAACTTTTCATTTCTCTGATAAACCCTTTCTAGACGAAGCATGTCAAGATTACACATCTGGCTATTGCCCGATCAAGTCTTTGGTACAGATTGCTTTACCAGACAAAGGCCTTGCGTAACTCAGGTCAGCTGTGATGATTGATGACTTCACTAACGACTTCCGCATGGCTGTTAGTCGTATCAAGCTAGTGCCAATGTTTGACCATCTGATAAGATTGCTAATTGATTTCATGTATGGAGGGTGTTAAGCAATATTTCCTCAATTGTGTAACATTCCTCCCATTCTCAAAGAAAAGATATTTACATAACTTTTTAAAACCTTTACAATTTGACAGTTTTTACATCGTTGTGAAAATAAATCGGAGAGATTTCGATTTGACAGTTTTTACATATTTTTGAAACAGGTTTCAAAGTGTGTTGGTTCTGTTATGCAAGATCATTTTCGTCGTTCCAAAGTAAAAGTTTGGTGCTAAGACCACCTAAAGATAAATTTGAAATGTTCCTATTATTAATTAGAACAGGTTTCGCTTTAATTTTTATATTTTACGTTGACATTTTATTGCTTTAAATCTTCCTAGTGCAAAAACGGTAAATTTCACCTTTTGACCTCCAGGGTCACTAAGACTAAAGGTGAATTAAGCAAGTTTACATATTTATTGAAAGTGTGATTACTTTTGATCACTTTCAGCTTCTTTTCCTAATAGAAGAATGACTGCGCATTCACTTTCAGTGCAAATGAACTCATTTGACCTTTGACCCCGAAAATCTCGAAAACGCCCCAACGAAAATGAACTTGCATAACAGAACCAACACACTTTGAAACCTGTTTCAAAAATATGTAAAAACTGTCAAATCGAAATCTCTCCGATTTATTTTCACAACGATTGTTATAGATAATGATACTAGTTATCTGAAAAACAATTGAATAGTTTCAGTGTTGGACTCCAGCCTGCAGGCCGCGTGGATTTCCGAGAATCCCAGTCTAGGAAAACCAACGTTAATCTGTGATGGGAAAACGCGCATCTGGCGACGAGATTAAAAGTTTGCAAACTTTTTATGAGTTTTTATGAATTTCGCCGGAACATGAACGCAGATAAAACCAACAAATGCATTATACATAGTAGTTCACAGGATATATATGTCGTATTGGTAAATGTTAGCGAGGAAAATTTTGGCAGGCTTTGTGACGCGGCCTACAGGCTGGAGTCCAGCCATGGAACTATTTAATTGTTTTTTTCAGACAACTAGTATCATTATGTATAGCATTCGTTGTTAAACTAATTCAGAGAGATTTTGATTTAACAAATTTTACGTATTTTTGAAACAGGCTCCGAAGCGTTTTGGTTCTGTTATGCAAGATCATTTTCGATGTTCCAAAGTAAAAGTTTGGTGCTAAGACCACCTAAAGATAAATTTTAAATGTTCCTATTATTAATTAGAACAGGTTTCGCTTTAATTTTTATATTTTACGTTGACATTTTATTGCTTTAAATCTTCCTAGTGCAAAAACGGTAAATTTCACCTTTTGACCTCCAGGGTCACTAAGACTAAAGGTGAATTAAGCAAGTTTACATTTTTATTGAAAGTGTGATTACTTTCGATCATTTTCAGCTTATTTTCATGATACAAGAATGACCGCTCATTCACTTTTAGTGCAAATGAACTCATTTGACCTTTGACCCCGAATATCTCGAAAACGCCCCAACGGCGGACTGATTACCACTCGGCATCGTATTCTACGTAAAATTACTCTAGAAAAGTTGGGTCTGGTTTTGTGCCCATTTGATGGTCACCCCCCGCGCTGAGCCTCCAGACTATTAGGGTAAGCAGAGATAAGCAATTTGATTGGTTGATGCTTTGGGACACGATAACTTTAGTTCTAATTAAGTGAGAGTGATGAAACTTGGTGTATAGTTTCATAACTTTCATTACATCAATACCTTGACTATGTTTGATAATGAGCCTTTTCTGCTCAGGGTAAGCAGAGCGATAAGCAATTTCATTGTCAGAGACTTTGGAATACAATATCTCTCCTTCTAATTAAGCTAGAATGGTTAAACTTGGTGTAGGTGTTTATTAGGTAAATGCCTTGATTGAGTTCGAAGATAAGCAATTTGATTGGTTGATGCTTTGGGACAAGATAACTTTAGTTCTAATTAAGTGAGAGTGAGGACACTTGGTGTATAGTTTTATCACATCAATACTTTGACTAAGTTCCTAATAAGCATTTTCTACTTAGGGTATGCAGAGCGATATGCAATTTGATTGGTCAAGACTTTGAAACACAATAATTCTCCTTCTAATTGAGGTAGAATGTTCAAACTTGGTGTAGGCATTCATTTAACTTGGTGTAGGCATTCATTAAATGAATGCCTTGATGAGTTCGATAATAAACATTGTCTGCTTACGGTAAGCAGAGATAAGCAATCTGATTGGTTGATGCTTTGGGGCATGATAACTTTGGTTTTAATTAAGTGAGAGTGATGAAACTTTGACTAAGTTTCATGATGAGAATTTTCTGCTTAGGCTAAGGATCGATAAGCAATTTGATTGTCCAAGACTTTGGAACATAAAAACTCTGCTTTTAATTGAGGTAGAATGTTTAAACTTGATGTATATGTTCATTAGGTGAATGTCTTGACTGAGTTCAATGATTAACGTTTTGAGCTAAGCTAAGCAGAGCTAAGCAATTTCATTGGTCGATGCTTTGGTACTAGAGAGTGATGAAACTTAGTGTATAGGTGATAATCTGTTTGATTGCTTGATACTTTTGAAAAAAATAAATGTGCGATTGATGAATATATGTCATCTATTTATTTTGGGAGTTTGGCGGGGGACATCAGCCTCACTGTTAGTTTGTTTATTTCCAGTGTTTAGTATACATCTATATGAAATCATTATTAACAAATAAATCATGTTTTGTAGATACCAAGAAATTTACGTTTATTATATGTACATAGTTATCAGAGTTATATATGGAATAGTATGGTATCTAGAAGAATACAGTTATATGGTTTCAAGTTAGTAGAAGGAGATCTTGTTTTAAATACAGATGATAATTCTAAAGGTAACAGTATATTATTGCTTTATATATCTTTTACACTATTTGTCCCCTGCCTTTCCAAGAAAATGTGTTTGTCTTTCCATCTGTCACACTTTTTGGGAAACAATTACTCTCTTTCTAATTGAGGTAGAATGTTCAAACTTGTGTAAGTGTTTATTAGCTGAATGCCTTGACTGGCTCATGCTTTGGGACATGATAACTTTGATTCTGATTTAGTGGGAGCTTGATGAATCTTGGTATATAGTTTTATTACATCAGTACATTGACTAAGTTCATCTGTAAAGTTCACTGATGAACAAATAACTTTTACATACGAAAATATATGACACAAACAGATCTAAGTCATCATTTTTATACGCCCACATTGAAATGTGGTCGTATATTGTCATCGCCCCCTTCCGTCTAGAGACTAAAGTTAATATTCGATCGACTTTAAATTTATACACAGTTTCTGATAATTACTGCCAGAGTTATGGCCCTTGATCACTTCGAAAAATCTTGTGGACGCTCTAGAGTAGAGTGGCCCACAGCCTCAATTATTTGTACTACATAAACTGACCTGTTTTATCAGCATGTTGTCACGCGGATCAAAACAGCGTTTATGAGAAAAGTGCTCTCACGGGCTCGCTCGTGCACTGTAGGCAGCAAACAGTCACCCAAATAGACATTGATGTGACAATATTCATTCACTTATTTATCAATGAAGCCATGTAAAAAATTCTTCTTTACTCATTGGACTTTTAAAAATAAGTAGTTACGAACTAGATTAAAATTTTGGCTAAAACTCAGCGATTTAATTTCTAAGTTAGTTGATTGTATCCAATGACTCATGTAGTCGCGCCCTTTTTTATACGCCCACATGGAAATGTGGTTGTATATTGCCGTCGACCCCGTCCGTCCGTCCGTCGTCCACAATTTCTTGTGAACACTCTACAGACTACATTTATCATCTGATTGTTTTGAAATTGATATATGTTGTTTGCATTAGTGAGATAAAGAAGCCTATTTAATTTCAATAACTTCCGTTAATTTCTTTTGGAGTTTAGCCCCTGTTTCACTTTGTTGCACCTTTTGAACGTTCGAACGACAAAAGTTATCATCCGATCTGTATGAAATTTATATGCATCATTCAAATTCATAATAACACAACTTAATGAATATTATACCTCTACTTCTAAATGTCATTTAAGGATATTATCATTCAAATTAGTAAAACAAAGAAGCCTATTGAATTTCAGCAATTTCCGTTAATTACATCTAGAGTTATGGCCCTTGTTTCACTTTGTTGAATCTTGTGAACGCTCTAATGACAACAGTTATCATCTGATCTGTTTGAAATTGATATGCATCATTTAAATTAGTGAAACGGAGAATCCTATTGAATTTCAGCAATTTCCGATAATTACGCGGTGAGTTATGGTCCTTGTTTCACTTTGTTGTTCCTTGGGAACGTTCGAACGACAAAAATTATCATCCGATCTGTATGAAATTTATATGCATTATTTGAATTACTAAAACTAAAAAGCCTGTGGAATTTCAACAATTTCAGTAGATTACTTCCAGAGATACGGCCCTTGTTTTAGTTTTTAGAACCTTGTGAACCCTCAAACGACAAAAATTATAATGTCATCTGTATGAAATTGTCTATTAAATTCCCCTAATAGAATTTTAATCATAGCATGTATAAACTAGTCTTAGATGTCACATATCATTACAGTACATGTATATAACACCCAAATCAATGGACAGTCATTTTGGCTACGATATCTTTTACTTCTTTTAAGGCTCCATATAGAAATTCTCATCAACAGTGGGACTTTCGAGCGATCTTGATTGCCGAACGAAAATCGCTTACAAGGCAGTGCTTACGATGATGCTATGAGTCACGTACGCCATACGGACGCTGAAGGAAGCTTAAAAGTAGGTACGGATCGGCAAGCTTTCGTTCTGTCGTATTACGAAAACACGTAATTTTATAGGAATATTACTGACACAAATTTGAACACCACACGGGAATTAAATATGAAAAATAGCAAGGTGTTCCTATTTTTATTACGCGCGGATTTGAATATTTTGTTGACATTTTATAAAGAAGAAAACGATTCTTATTCCGGAAGTTCTGCATTTATTTGCTGTCCTATAAACAAAGACACGTAATGCATACCAGTGTGAATTTGATGCCGAAGCAGGAGTTATTTTGTAGGAATATTATTGAGATAAATTTAATTATCGTACGGGAATTAAATATGAAAAATAGCAAGGTTCACCTATTGTTATTACGTATGACATTTGAATATTTAGTTGACACATGATTTTTAATTGTGGTATGAATCCGTCTGCTTATATATCGTTATGCCCCTTGATTTTCGGTAAAATGTCCGACAAGGAAAAATTTTGAAATCCCATCACTGGGCAGAACTTTATAAAAACCAAACAAATTCTAATGGTTTTCTGATAATTACTTCATGTGTTGTTGCTCTTAATCAGATTTTAGTGTATTATAAATGTTTTATTACCAAAAAATGTGCGACAGCTCTTGTTGACAGCCCGGACGATTTAGCTTTTGTGGGTGTATGTTTCGTTGCCTGGCAACCTATCTTTATATTTGTGATAATTATTTGAAACAAAATAGGACTATCATAAAGGATTTTTATCATCTATAATATGAGTACGGAAAGCACTCTCTACATATTGCGTTTGTAAACCACGAAATACCCCTTATTAGAAAGTTAAATGTTAAAAAAAATCAGCTGAAGGTAACTGATAAATACAGACAACCTCTCTCACTCTAAATAAGGGTTGCGCACGCGTACAAATGTTAAATTCAATCGTTAATTGTACGTTCGTAGAAAACGAAGAATCCCGACTGCGGAAATTAAGAATTCGTTTTTCAGAGCAAAGTTTGAAACTTTGATGTGACCAAGAAACATAACTCTTTTTGATAAAAAAAAATCTACCGCTGTAACGCTAGTTGGGCGATCAACTTTTCCACATATTAGAAAGTCCCAGTCAAATGGTTGAATCACACAAATATCCAACTTAGCAATAGTTTAATTGTTCATGATTATGTTGTTAATGGTAAGTCTTATCATATTTGTTAAAATAAGCCCCAAGTTAAGCTCGTTTATTGGATTTTTGTTGTGCATGAACCACTCTATCTAGGGGCTAAAGTTAATATCCGATTGACTTTAATTTTATACACAGTGTTTAAGGTCATGAGACGAAGAAGCCTATTGATTTTCAGTGATTTCAGATAATTATTGCCATAGTTATGTCCCTTGATCAGTTTGAAAAATCTTGTGGACGCTCCAAAGGCTAAAGTTAATATCCAATTGACTTTAAATTTATACACAGTGTTTAAGGTCATGAAACGAAGAAGCCTATTGATTTTCAATGATTTCTGATAATTACTGCCACAGTTATGGCCCTTGATCACTTTGAAAAATCTTGTGAACGCTCCAGAGGCTAAAGTTAATATTCGATCGACTTTAAATTTATACACAGTGTTTAAGGTCATGAGACTAAGATTCCTATTGATTTTCGGCAATTTCCGATAATTACTGCCAGAGTTATGGCCCTTGATCACTTTGAAAAATCTTGTGAACGCTCCAGAGGCTAAAGTTAATATTCGATCGACTTTAAATTTATACACAGTGTTTAAGGTCATGAGGCGAAGAAGCCTATTGATTTTCAATGATTTCCGATAATTACTACCACAGTTATAGCCCTTGATCACTTTGAAAAATCTTGTGGACGCTCCAGAGGCTAAAGTTAATATCCGATTGACTTCAGATTTATACACAGTGCTTAAGGTCATGAAACAAAGAAGCCCTGTGATTTTCAATGATTTCAGAGAGTTATGGCCCTTGATCACTTTGAAATATCTTATGGATGCTCTAGAGACCAAAGTTATCATCCGATTGATTTTAGATTGATAAACAGAGTTTAAGGTCTTAGGACAAACAAGTATATTGATTTTCAATGAATTTTGATAACTTGAACAGCTAAAAGCCAAACAAATTCTAATGATTTTCTGATAATTACTTAATGAGTTGTTACTCTTAATCAGATTTTAGTGTATTATAAATGTTTCATTACGGACAATAGAAAAAATATGTGACAACTCTTGTTGACTGCTTGGACAACTTAGCTGCTGTGGGCGTATGTTTCGTTACCTGGCAACCTATCTTATATACATTATGTTTATTAGTTAGTTAAAATTGTTAGTAATCAGGCAGTAGTCATTAAAGTGTTAAAACTGTTACTATTGAATGATATATATCGCCAACGGTTAAGCGGGAGACACACTAGGTGAATCATTCGACTGAATCGTTCAGCCAAATCAATCATCTAGTGTGTCCAGAGGTCGTGATGCTGAATTTGTATTCGCTCGAATTAAACAGGTTTGATATTTTCGGCTGAATTTTTTTATTCGCCTAATGTGTCCGGTTGGCCAAAGACATCGCCTGATTGTAAAATATATTAGCCAATCACTGATGTCAAGAAAGTCACATGATTTTTGGAAGACAAAATTGCATCTATCATGGCTTCATAACCGCCAACGTCTTCCTTGGTCAATTCTACAAACAATTCTACAAACTTGTGTGGATCCAGGTTTCGCCCAGTCACTCCTATTTCCCCACCTCTTTCAACGCCGACACGTACGGTGTATAATTTTATTCTCCTTGTTTATATTCGCCTAGTGTGTCTGGTTAGCCGAAGTCATCGCCCAATTGTGGAATTCATTAGCCAATCACTGATGTCGAGAAAGTAAAATATAAGTTTGTGTATATTATTGTATTATACAGGTGAAAGTAATATATTAAATTGTGTATATTATTGTATTATAGGTGAAAGTAAAATGGATATAAAACCTGTTGTCATAGATGAAGATAATATGAAAGATTATAGCATATTAGATGTTGTATTACCTTTACCTGGTTATGAGATGATATATCCTACCAATAATGGTAAAGAATAATATATAAAATACCTTTAATATTCAGATAAAAATTGTGGCTATTGTATTAATAGATATTATAAGTACTTATCATTTATAACTGCTTTCAAATGCTAAAAAACCCAGTAAGGGCCAGTAATATTTTAATTCTGATTACTTCCCCTGGCCATTTGACCATATTGCTTTCCGAAAAAGTTGCTGTTATATATGTATTTAGAACAAATATATGATGTATCGTTGAATAATCGCTTCGATATTCTGCTTGTGCCTCATTATATTTACCTTCTGCCTCACACCAGGTCTGTAATTTCATATATAAAAAATTTACATATTAAGAATAGTATAGTATATCTATCTTGATGATTATTATTTTAGTTGGTGAATTATATAAAGAACTATTAGCTGAAGACGGTATTGATATCACAAACATGAAGACTAAACACAAGTTAGTGATTAATATCTTATTACACATAGTGAATATAGGGTTAACCTCTTGTACTGCTATCTGTAATAGCCAGTTCATATATATATATATACGTCCACATGTATATTGTCGTCATCACCCATCATTGTATGCTTGTTGATTGGTATGTTATCATCTTCTGATCACAAGGTACACGAGAAAAGATAGGTTGCCAGCCAACGAAATGTACGCCCACAGCAGCTAAATCTTCCGGGCGGTCGACAAGGGTTGTCACATATTTATTCCTTTGTAGGCAATTGGGGGCCTTTACAAGACAGTTCCATACATATCAGATTATAATTTTTGTCGTTTGAGGGTTCACAACAGGGCTTCCACTTCAAAATTTTCACTGCCAGTCATTTTTGATAACCTGAGAAAACCTTTTGAAGTAAATTTATATTTCATGTTTTTTATTCAGTGTAGGGTATTGTGAATTCACGTGCCTATCCCACTTTGTCAGCATGGGGTACACAAAAAATTATATATTGGACTTAAAAATGAAATATTAGTAAGATTTATGATAATTATTTATTAATTAAATATTCCGTTTTGGCTACTTAAATAACGAAATAGCTGAATTGGCTGTAGAAAAATCATTTTAGTAGCTCACACGTAATTACCACGTGCTCTATAGAAAACAAACTGACCTGGATAATTTTGAGTTGTAATACAAAACCTTTGAAATGAAAATACATATATAATTATCCACGGCATACATCTCACATTTATTGGTTTTAGACCATCTCTTACGGGATTACGGGCCGCAGAATTGTGACGTAAATCCTAATAATGTATAACTATGACCAACCGATAACTAACTTCACAGCTAGCGACACTAGCGCCCCCTAGAATATCGTTGTGTATAAGAGTAACCGTATATACACAACATTTTTGCTACTCCTCAAATTATCAATATTGCTGCACAATAGAACTGGAATACATAATTTTCTTAATTTTTCGGTAAGCAAGTTAACTAATCTCTAGATTTTGTTTCTACAATTCCCACAAGGCCGTAATACCGCTATAAAAAATTATAAATGCATTTTTCTCCTAAAAGTACATTGTTGAGGATTTACGTACTTCATATCATTTGCCCTTTTTCGAAGATCATAATAACCTCGTTTACATCTTGCGTGACCGTAATAGCGATAAACGGCTTTGTTGTAGAAAATTTTTATAACCCGTGGACAATATGTGAATGATTAACAATGAGCCGCTCCACGCCGTTGATTAGATTCCCACATATCAATTAACTTTTATTGTTCTACTACCAGACACTCATCATTAATTATCAACACAACACCCAGTATAATCTGTTGACGACTATGTATACACCAATCATGAGATTGTGTGGCTTCTATCACTAGGGACCGGGTATCGTCCAGACTTTACGAAAAAAGGAAAGAAACTAAGCTTATCGTCAAGAATTTAATACACGTATCCAGCTAATAGATTGCCGTCAAGAATTTGTTAAATGCCGTCAAGATTCACCAAAAACCGCCCAGTTTGTGCTACCGTGTAGATTAAGAAACACCATTTACTTTTGACAACGATCTTCTGCTTTACGACCGTCCAGTTTCTCGGGATGTTTTTTAGAAATGAACACTACCATTTAGATTTGAAAGGGGTTTAGTTTTTAGACAAGGCGTTTATTTTCCCGGACGTTGTCAAGAAATGAACAGAGTGTTTAATTATTTAAGGCGTTTAGATTTTACGCCAAATTACCACTTTACCGAGAGTCGTCTAGTAACTTACGGGTGAGTAGTAATGCAATGCCGTTTACTTTTCATGTCTTGTAATTAGTTTGCCCAGTGTCATCTAGAAAACTTATGGCATTTGTTTTTGTGTGAAATATTTAATTTCTGTCTCACAATTTTAGAAACTATGTTCAGATTTAGAATCTGAGTATAGTGTCTAAAATTCTTGAATGAATTACATATTTGTTGAATATCGTCCATTCTTCGGTATTACGACTTCCGTTGGGAAAAGTCGATTATCAATGAATTGACAATTGTCCGTACATTCCCTTGTTTTTATTCATTCTATACTTAATAAAAACATGGTAATGCACTGACCTTTTCTCATATTGACAGTCAATATTTTTTTTTCAATTGTCAGGCTAGTCAAGTCGTCCACACGAAAAATTTGGTTAAGTCATCCACGCTGCACGCGACTTTAATTTAATTTCGGGAGGTAGAATAAGTCGTCCACACGACATTGTGTAATGTTAGGGACGCAGAAATATTCATAGTATAATATGAGTGTTTGATATAAGTATAATTTTCTTTACGCCAAATGGCAGACTCGTCAATCTAGAGCGGTCGCATTTATAAATAACAAACAACAAAATAAATCACTTTATTCAATAATAATTTCATTAATAAATAACGTCACTACACAGCCACTAAACGACTCACCTCTATAGTCTCTGTACACTTTTCTTCCCCAGTTCATATAATTCCCATTTTATAAATATTTTATCATGAATAGTGTCCAACGTCGTCCTTTACATACGCTTTAGCTTATTTTCCGAACACGCCAATTCTCGGCACCAATTTCACTAAAATTACATCGCCTAATGCCGAAATATGATGCCGAAATAATATCAATCCAGTTGTATTTTGGCGAGAGATTAAGTTGTCAATATGTAATTGTAAAATACCTTTTATTTATCCATCTAATAATTTATATTCAGATTTCATATCAAGTCAATTAAATGTTGTCTAAACATTAAAATCATAACGCCAATTAACAAACAATACGAGTATACTTTATTACAAAAACATCAGTGAAGTATTCTAAAAATCTAAAATCATAATGGCAATTAAATAACAACACGAATATACTTCACTACAAAACCATGTGTCTGGATTAGGGGATTAATTAAACAATATGTAGCGGCCATTCAAAGAATCTAACGACAGACATTTATGACTGTTGTATATTCCATGCGATGGTGGTGTAATTACACGTCTGTGAGCGATATGGTTTCAGACGGAACCGAGACAGGTGGCTAGAATTTGTGATATAAGCATGTGGTCATTCAAAGAATATAATTAGGGTTTCACACTGCATAGCTTGTGTGAAACACTATTGTTTTTGTTAAAATTATTATTAGGGTTTCACACTGCGTAGCTTGTGTGAAACACTATTGTTTTTGTTAAAATTATTATTCTTATTAGGCTTTCAGACTTTTGTCTGAAAGCCTATTGAGATTACTAAAATTATTATTTATTTTTATTATTATTTTTTTTTTCGCTGGAGCCTATTTCTCAGTGCCTGTAACAGATACCGATATGGGACCTAATTTTCTATTGGGAAACCATGTGGTGGCTACTTGATAAACTATTTTTGAAACTTCTGCGCAGACCGGAAGTGGCCGAATTTCGTGCGGTGCCAAAAAATTAAAAAACGGCTGTAGCTTCGTCAATTCTGTACCTATTTTCATACAAATGATATTTTCAGAAACCCCGAGTCTTTTGTCGGACGATAGCAGTTGAAAATTTCGAAACTTCGTCGCTGACTTCTAGCGTTTGAAAAATGAAAAATTTTGTTAAACAGACAATTTCTGTTATTTTTCAAAATTTTCAAATTTGACCTACATTTTTGGATACCTGAAGACCATCCGATTCTAGAAATATAAGTTTCATTCCGAGTTATCGCTCTTTATTTTTCGATTTTTTTCGAATCTGCCCATTTCCCAACCCTTATATTTTTGGGAAAGGATAAATTGATATTTCTGAAAGTCCTGGAACATAAAGCTATATAGCCAGACCGCTGGATAAAGCAATTTCAACAACGGTCCGGAAGTAGTCGAAATAATGTCCGATATTTCGGAAAAAAATCAAAAAATGGGTGTTTTGGGGAAAAACTCGAATTAAGCTTTCGTTGAGTGGCCCGAGGAATGGACTGTCGTATGATGCCCAATTTATACGGATACTATGACCAAGCAGCAAAATATGACAAGCTGAAAATCAAGTATTTTCTGATTTGGGCGTTTTTGGACGCCTGTATCTCGAAATCTTAACCGCAACTTTTTTTTTAACTTTCTCTATCGAGAGTCCACTCGATAGTCTTGTGAATTATGCCATCCAATAAGACTTTTAAATGTCTGGAATACGATAAAAAAGGGACTGAAAATCGAAAAAAGTAAACAAATCGTGAAATTTTGCAAAATGCTCTATTACTTTATTATTTAAACAAATTTTTACAAATTCGGATAGCTGACCTAATTACGATTGAGTTATTGAAATTTTATTTTTGATATTTTTGCATTTTTGGCACCTTTGAACATAGGATTTCTCAGGGTCATTTTATCTAATCAGATAATGTAATATATCATTACAGAGCCCTGCCGCTATTTAATTGCCCAAACTGGTTATTAAAACTATTCCGACAATAATCTCCATACCGGAAGTATTATATGGCATCTCAATGGTACGATTTCGATGGTTAGAAAATAAATTGTGGTACGCCGAAAATCTAGTATTTTCCGTTTTTGGAGCCTTTTTAGACGTCTTTTTCTCGAAAACGACAACTCCGATTTTTCTGAAACTTTTTTAACGCAGAGTCCTATGGGTGGGCTATGGCGTGAGTCCAACAATAAAAGTATTGAAATAACATAAGTTGTCCAAAAAGAGCCTCAATCTTGGAAAAAAGTTGAAAAATCATTACATTACTGAAAATGATCTTCTAATTTTCTTTCTTTGGAAAACAGCTGAATGGATTATTCTGAAACTTCTTGTACAGAAAGTAAGGTAACCAAACAACTTGTTAAAGCTATCCCGACAATGATCAAAAAAACGGAAGTAGTCGAAAAAATTTCGGATATTTTAAGGAAAAAAAACGTAAAAATTAAAAAAATGGAGATCTTGCGAAAAAAGTGATTACTACGCCAGATTTCACCGAATCAAAACAACTAAAGTGTCATTGGACAATCTTATGAGGTCTAAATGGTAAAAATTCGCGGGTTAGGCAATATT